CTAACACCGTGATATACGGAATAGAATTAAGACAATTTGCAAAATTAACCTCCAAACCCACCCTTTTATTAAAACATACTCCTTTAATGAATCACATAAAAATAGTTATGGATTATGGAAATAAGCGCAAAATAGTTAGCCTCAGATATGAAAAGTTCTTATTAATTTATGATGTTTAAACAATGAGTGTAAGTGAATATAGTCACAATCAACGAGGAGAATCCTTAAAATATTTAGCAAAAAGCGAACCCTGTACTATTCCGAAAAGCCCTAATACCTGCCGAAAAGAGAAGAGTATTGAAGGGAAAAGCCCTAATACCTGCCGAAAAGAGAAGAGTATTGAGGGAAATGGAACATTTACAATGACCTAGATCTCAAAAATATCAGATTAACGCAAATTTTGTTCATAAAATTCAGTGTAACTGCGTGAATCGACAAAAATATTCGCCAAGACAACAGAAAAAATGTTCCCAGCACACTAGTTATAATTTGATGTATTACAGCTGCGTGAGAACAAGCAGCAGCTGTGGCTGCAGCGGTTTAAGCAGCGTACATGCAAGAGGTCGTAATACTGCAACGACAGTCGTCGGTCAACTGCGCACAACGGCGGAAGCCAACCGAACCTGCTGCGCTCGCGCTCAGTTCCGCAGTTCCGACTTTCAGAAAGACCTTTCCAGCACGAGCGAGTTATGAAGGAATACAGTGCAGCTTCAGAGCATTTCATGACTTTATTGTGATAGTGTATTGACTCATGAATCGGTAGATCCCGCTTTTATTGAATAACGAAGAATTTATAAAAATATTAATCGATCTGTTTCATATTTCGGTGAAGTTACCAAGAAATTAAAGACGAGAACTTCATGGAAGAATTCTGCAGTAATTTCATTGAGGTATCAGAGCAATAATAAAAGGCTTGTTTCACTGTTGCCTCAGCCACAAGAGAACGGATTGGTAGGGCTGCGAACCTGTGGCATTGCAGCCAGGTCATTCACTCGCCTGGGCCAGTGTCGGTGGGCATTGCAGCCCTCGTACGACACGACGTTCGTTAAAATTTTGGTTTTGAATTGGCCTTACAGTCTTCAGTGTTCAGTGTGAATTACTTGAAATATTATTTATTATTTCTAAAGTTGTGTGGTTTGCATTGTACAAAAGTTGATTTTTTGCCATTGCCGGGATCAAAGTCAGCATGACTTCCAGTGATCGTGGGGAATGCTCTTCCAAGCTCATGTTTCATTGTGTATGCGAGTTGGCTTCTGTGCCATTAAATTTAAATGGTAACGATAGTTGTGTTATTATTGAAAGATATTTTGCGATATTCGTGCGGTAAAATTGTTGCTAACTTCCTCCAGCGATGAAAATAAATATTTGATTGTCTGGCGCAGTATTGCCATTATGTTCCATAGAGTTTATTGACCAGGGGTTCATATATATTTGCTTGGATTTTGGGCTGTTATCAAGGTAATCGCGTATACGTTATAAATTTGTTGTTAAGTTGTTAAATATCGTCCCGATTAGGTTCTAATTATGACTAAATTGGCTTTTAATCTAAGACTCGGCTTTGGTCGGGATGGTGTTAACCAATTGTATTAGCCATGCGATATCAATATAATTTATTCATATAATGGCCCCCAACTTTTACGAGACCTATTTTAAGGATATAAAAATGCGACTTTTTCCTTTGTCTCTTTTGAGGGCCGACATTGAATTTTAGTTGATTTATCTTGCTTATTTTTAGGACGTATTTCGAATAAATTACGCTGAAATTCAATTGACTTATATAATTCAGTGCTGTCTGTATTATGATATAATTGTTTTATTAAAGTTGTTTGTTGGAACAATTCCTCAATCGGTTGAATAGTACAGTGTATACGTCTGCAAGAAGCTAAATTTCGTAATATTAAATATCAGATTATGATTAAGTAAAATCATTATTAATGTCATTACAGTCAAGGTGAATTCTATTCCTGTTCATCATCTGAGGTTATTTGATGTTTAATATAAAACGAGTTCTTTACCTGATTTCATACGATGTTGACTGGAAATATCGTTCCGTGTCTAAGCTAATACATGGAGATAAAAGTTAAACTCGCACCTAATTTAAAGTTGTGCGGTACTAAATACAAAATTAATTATTTATCTAAAATGAAACGATGTTAAATGCTAGACTTGCGTCCTGTCTGAAGTTATAATGATTATAATTCTGAACTGAATTGAACCGAGAACTCGAACGAGTTAATATAAGCCGAGTTCTAAGGAGTTCCTTGGCTATAATTCTGAACTGAATTGAACCAAGAACTCTAACGAGTTAATATAAGCCGAGTTCTAAGGAGTTCCTTGGCTATAATTCTGAACTGAATTGAACCAAGAACTCTAACGAGTTAATATAAGCCGAGTTCTAAGGAGTTCCTTGGCCATAATTCTGAACTGAATTGAACCAAGAACTCTAACGAGTTAATATAAGTTGAGTTCTAAGGAGTTCCTTTGCGAGAAGAGACAAGAGAATGCGCGAGGAAGAGCATTCTCCTCTCGAATGTCATGCTTCACCCACGACACGACAAGCGCTAGATTATTCAACACTCATTCTCAGAAAGCCATTTTGGGCAACATTTAATTTTGTAACCAGTATTCGGAAATTCAACGATTTTTCTCGGCGGGCAAAAATTATGCAGTTTTTCTGCAGACTTAACTCCAGTTTTTATGCAGACTCCAACTTAATTTTTTTCTGAGGTCTTCAACGATTTTACATTTTTTATGAGGATTATTTGTAGCCAAAATTCGCTATTTTTAAGTAGTAAATATTTTTCAATCACATATAAAAATGAGTGTGTTGTGAGTGCTCCGGTTATTATTCTGTTGTGTAACAATATGATAACAGAATTTTTGTGCTGCAATGAGCAGGTTTGCTGGAAGATATTTATTATTCTGAAGGGGACGGACATTTGGCCGTTCTATCAGCGATCAAATTATGGCCGTTGGTTGGCCGTGCTCACGTTGCATTGAATTTCTAATAGGATGAATTTTTTGTTCCGTTTTTTTAATTAAAACATTAATTCCAAGTTATTATGAGAGCTTACTGTGGACATATAATATTATAAAATATAAAATAATATAATAAATATAATATAAAATAGTGTAACATAATGTAATAAAATCGAATATAATATAACATAATATATATAAAATAGTATAATGTAACATAATACATCCTCTTCATTGTTATTATGAATGAATTCATAGTTTCGAACGTAGGATTAAATTTGAATAGAAATTAACGGATAGAACTCTTAACACCGCCCGTGCCCGAACAGCAGCCAGCAAAAGTGAAGGCGAGGAAGCGGGTATAACTGAAACTCGCAGGCCTTCAGCGAATAATGTAAGGCAACCAATTCTTTTTGTATCTCTTGCCAAATGCTATCTCTACTATCCACTACCAAGTGACCATGCTATTCCGAGGTGCACGTAAGAATTTCTAGATTAAAGCGCACCACAAGGAAAAAACTGATCAACCTTGTGAATAGAATGCTTTGGGTGAAAGGTAGGTTTATAGGCGGCGTGTAGGAACTTATGCAACATGCCACAGCATGATGCCACATGCCGCCACATGGCATTCTCGACTCATGCAATTTGGCACCACATGGCCTTACAAAACTTTTTAGACGACCATACAAAGTCTCATGTTGTAAGTCTACATGTCATCGTTCGTTTTAGCTACGCGTATTTACATTACTTGTGCTCACGCGCGGTCAGACGGCATCATCAGTTATGTTAAATCTGATGCCACGTGGCTTTATTGGCGGTGCCATTTCGGCCACTCGGCATTACAATATGTTACTGGGCATAAATATATACAAATAACACTTCGGGTCAATTTTTATACTATAATGATACTATTCGTTATATTGTTTCGTGAATCTTGTCATCAATCACCCATCCATATAGCTTATTAAAGAACTTATTGAACACGCGGTCGTTGTAAATGGCTTTAAGAGAACACTTTGTTTCAACTTCCTTTTATGCGCCATGTTTTTTACTAAACATGCAAGAGTTTCTGGCTTAAAGTGTCACGTGGTGCCTGGTGGTGCAGATACGACGATCTTCTGCTGAAGATATTTAAAGTTTGTCTTTGTGTGTTGGTCTCTGAATTGTTCTTTGAATGGAGATCGAGTTCACGACTTGCAAGGATGAAATTAGAGTTGGAAAATCTGGGTCAATTTTATTGCATCATAGATAAGTTTTGAAACTTTGCAGCTTGCAAAAAATTAAATTAGTAAATGATTGGCAGTTATAAATCTGCTGTATATCTTACACATATAGGCTAAAGCTTGAAAGTTTGTTTGCTTGTGTATTTGAAGTATGGTACTGTAAATACATCGAGGCAAATCGGGCGTTACAGATTTCGGGAAATTTTATTTTAAATGGTGAAATTTTGTGATATTGAAAAATTGATAGACACATTGGATTTAAAATAAATTTATAAATTTTACGTTGGAAAGTGTCATTAAATTTTGAAACAGGACTTGAATGTGAGTTCCATGCCAAATTTAGGTTTGAACGGGTCATTCATCAATTACTCGATTATAAAAATTATCAACTGTGTTCAGGATTATTGGGTTCGCGATTACTGAGACTCGCGATGATAGCTATTGGTATAACAGGATTCTGGAATTGCAACGATTATCATTTTTTATCACGAGCAAGGCTGATTTAGCCTGCTAGTTGACAATGCAGGTACAATGCAATGTATGAATGTCATATACTATAGTGAACATGATGTTCTGGTAATGGTTTTCGTTGATAGCGCCGTGTAAAAAATTTCGAATGCGTTGTAAATTGAAATTTAAAATTTCTTTTGTGTAGAGATTTTTATCATCCATTGGCAAATGAATCGCCCGTCCTTCCCTCGAGTTTATTCTTTCGTTTCAAGAGTGTTAATTTTTTAAAAAAAATTGTTAATTTTTTTAAAAATTTTTACACTCACATTTAATTTCTGTTCCTTCACAGAATTTTTTCAAGATGATTCGGTATTAGCCATCAAATAATTTTTCAGTAGAAGTGAGGACAATTTCGTTTCTCGGTGTAATTCGAAAATCATGTCTCCGAGCGCATTGGTGTTTTTCAGAGAAAAATTGGTGTTGTGATGACGTCAAAGAAAAAAGGAGTCATTCAGTGTTGGAAATCTTCTTTAGTGCGGCTGTATAAAAACATAAAGAATAAAATTCAGCGAGCATCATCCAGTAGATTAGTAATATCTTATTAGAATAATATTCTGTGGAAAAATTAATTTGCTTTGTCTTGTCTTTGAAAAATTGTAGAAACACTAAAAATTGAATTCACTCACCATGGATGTCTTCAAAATGGAACCAAGTCTCAACTCTTTAGGAACCGCAGTTCCCGGAGTTAAAGTTTCTACCACCGAAGTTACTTTCGATACCAACACCGACTTCAACTTGTCCTTTTTCGACTCGTCAACGCCTCCCCCTTCCGTATCAAAGAAGGAGCCCGACTTTTTGAACGATCGCGATGCAGAGGGTCTCTTCGAGTCCATGACTTCCGACTCATTGTTTTCTCCAGTCTCCATCAAGAAAGAAGATTTTAATGAACGGCAAGACAGCAGCATGTATGAACCAATGTCCACCGACTACTCATCGCCATTCACCAGCGAAGAGTCAAAATATACGTCTTTTTCTGATGCCGCGGTGCCTTCATCTCTACAACAAACGCCCCCCAGTCCCGCACCGACACTCAGCCCGCGCTGTGACACGCAGTCGGCCAGACAACACAGTAAAGTGCCCATCATAATCAAGTCAGGTGAGGCTTGCTAACTAATTAATGAACTTAGATCATGTATTAAAATTTCATGTATATGAATTAAAAAAACGCATTTGCAAATTTTGAACTCCAAGGACTAGTCGACGTAAGAAAAAAGTTTTTCTACCGCTTTCTTCGAAAAAGAATCAGGGAAATGATTATTCATTCTGGCGAAAATTCATGACTGAGCCAGTGAGAAATATGAAGTGAAATATATTTTATTATTATTTTCTTTCAAGTAATGTCTTATTGAAGCGCGTGTCACTGAGTGGCGTCGTTCGGCTGCAAACTTGAAGACAATTCCTGTTTAGTCGCAAACTTTAGTGAACTAAACTTTGGCTTAAAAATCAATCAATCTTTGGCAATCAAAAAAGTTGTAGAAAACATACTTTCTTTGACTTTCCTACTAAACGGTAGTCTATAACGTGTTTAAGTTTATACTTTTTTTCAATGTTCTGCCACTTATCTCGTGTAATTAAATTTATTTCTTCCTAACAACAATTTGTTTATTTCGACAGCTTTATTTCTACCGAGCATTGTCTTTAGATGTTAGGATTTTCTTTTGACGATGAGAAATCGTTCAAAATTTTGCACGCAGCATCTGAAACGTTGTTAGACGAATATTCGCGCATCGAAATATATCTACACATCGATCTACTCACACATGTATTATCTACACGCTATACTCTAAATATACTCACAAACGAATATATCGACACGCTAAACGCTAAATCTAATCACACACGAATCCATCTAAACGCTTTACTCTCGATATACTTACAAACGAACCTATCCACACGCTATACGCTAAATCTACTCACAAACGAATCTATCTACACTCTATATGCTAAATCTACTTACACACGGATCTATCCACACGCTATACGGTAAATCTACTCACAAACGAATCTATATACACTCTATATGCTAAATCTACTCACACACGAATCTATCTACACGCTATACGCTAAATCTACTCACAAAAGAATCTATGTACACTCTATATGCTAAATCTACTCACACGCGAACCATATCCACACGCTATACGCTAAATCTACTCACAAACGAATCTATGTACACTCTATATGCTGAATCTACCCACAAACGAATCATATCCACACGCTATACGCTATATCTTCTCACACACGAACCTATCCACACCCTATACGCTAAATCTACTCACAAACGAATCTATGTACACTCTATATGCTGAATCTACTCACACACGAACCTATCCACACGCTATACGGTAAATCTACTCACAAACGAATCTATGTACACTCTATATGCTGAATCTACTCACACACGAATCTATCTACACGCCATACGCTAAATCTACTCCCAGGATGACTAGAACATCGCTATCATGGTGCACGCTTGTACGTCTACTCCCTGACTTTCTAAGCTGCCAAAATGATCTCGACAAAAAAATGGCTACACTGACGCCTCTACACATTAATTTCCCTTCCATGATGTATATTGTGCACAATTTCTGCCACCGTCTACATTTCAGTTACTAGCTTTCAATGTTAAAAAAAGGTCATTTAATTTACATATGAATAGAAATACTTTATTATGTGATAGGTATTATGTATATAATTGTTTTCACAGTTGCTTCAATACGTTTTGTAATGCTTCTATTTTATACCCAAAAATATGTATCGCATATCGCACCCATAATGCATGCATACATTGCGCGGATCGAGGGATGAATGTTCTATTCATGAATAATTGGACTCGTTAGTCTCGTACCTGATCAATTATATATTCATAAGCGAAAAAGAAACAGATGAACCTGAAATCATCCATTCAAGATTTAATTCGAATACTTTAAACGTTGGACATGATATAATAAATGGATAATCGTTAATCATTACGTTGGATTTTTAATTTGAGATCCCGCATTAATGACACGCATCATTTCGAACATAAAATGCTAATAAAATGAAACGCTCTCGAATTTAATTCGAAGACTTTAAACGTTGGACATGAAATAATGAAAGAAAAATCGTTGACTATTACGTTGAATTTTTAATTTTAGATTACGAGTTAATGACACGCATCATTTTAAACATAAAATGCTATTAGAATTATTAGAATGCTATAAAATAGAACGCGCGCGAAGAATATCTCTCTCATACAAGTGTACCGTCTTGAAGCTGTGGTTCGCTGCAGGCTTCCTAAAGCATCGCTTCCTTTCACTTCCATTAATATCGATAGAGGCTTGCATATTGGCTCAATCTGAGACTCGGCGCGCAGGAAGCCATTATGTACGAGCCGAATAATTCCGGTGATGCAATATGAATGGGAGCTAAATTTCGGTAACTAGTAATAAAGAATATAACTTGGTTTATTAGTATTTATGTCAGCGTTAGTTTAAGGATAAGAATATTGAAGGTATTTTTCTATTTTTTTGTACATTGCAATGGAAGTCAACTTAGTGCTGGCAACTCCTAATAAAGAATATCACTTTGTTTATCAGTTTTTATGTCAAAGTTAGTTTAAGTATAAGAATATTGAAGGGTATTTTTCTATTTTTTTTGTATATTGCAATGGGAGTCAGAGGTTGGTATGTCTATTTGAGAAAAACAATTATGCATGATAAGCGCACAATTTGAGTGCTTGAGTTCCTCCAGCGGCGTTAGAAGATGTTGGCTTACATCAACAAGGAAGATGTTGGCTCACATCAACAAGGAAGATGTTGGCTCACATCAACAAGGAAGATGTTGGCTCACATCAACAAGGAAGATGTTGGCTCACATCAACTATACTTTGAGATGAAGTGAGTCAACATCCCGGAAGTTTTGAGCTCAACATATTCAGGAGCTTGTAGCTCCAAAGACGCGCCGTAACCTGTAATTGCCGTACTGTTGTTCGGGCAATTGTACTTCCTGCCGCTAGTTTACATTCGCTTCTCCTTGCGTCATAAATAATGAAAAATGATGGGTATGGTGCATTTACGTACAATATGTAAGAATAATCGTGGCGGTGTTCTGATTATTAGTAATGTTTACTGTATACTTTTTTTAACATGCATTATAATAATATGTTCTTTAAGAATGTCCTTCACTGTATGAAAATAATAATTCGGATGAAAATATTTGCGTATGACATTTAGAATTATTTTAATCTTTGAAAACAGGTTACCATTTGAAAATTACTTAATAAATTAAACAGTTCGAGTTTCTATTATATTTGCATTATGCACATTGGCGCCTATATTTTTTTACAATTCGTAAAATAGAAAAAAAAAAATAAAAAAAACGTTCATTTTTTCCCAAAAAATCACTTGATAATACTTCAGACTTTCCCCAGAACAGACAACCCCTGTTCCACATGTGATCGTTCATTCCCAAAGTACACTTCATATTCCCGACTGGTTACCTTTTACCTGGACCATCTCTAGCCAGCTGCGGCCGCCGCTGCCATGGTCTCCAAGAACCGGTCGGCTCAGCTCGTCAAACCTCGGCTCTTTTTAGAAAGAACTCTTCCTCTCTCTTCCTCTCTCTTCCTCTCTCTTCCTCTCTCTTCCTCTCTCTTCCTCTCTCTTCCTCTCTCTTCCTCTCTCTTCCTCTCTCTTATACAACGACTCTACACCATGACTCTGCCGCTACAGCGACTCTACACCATGACTCTGCCGCTACAACGACTCTATACCATGACTCTGCCGCTACAGCGACTCTACACCATGACTCTGCCGCTACAACGACTCTATACCATGACTCTGCCGCTACAGTCAGAGCAGGGCCTGACACAGGAAATATAATATTCGTAACGGGGTAATTTTGAAAGACTTTCTTTCCAGTGCAAATAATGCAATGATTCGTAAAAGTTAAATACAAAGCGTGTGATTTCAAGGAGAATACATTTCAAGCTATGGCCTCATGAGATTGATGATGCATGTGGCGTGTACAGAGCGCTAATTTCGTAAGACAGCCGAGCACCTCTGGTCGGAAATATTTACAAATTTAAATTTTCAAGTTTACCTGGGAACTGCCGCATTTGTTGCTGATTTGTTTGAGCCATTTTGCAACATTTTACTTTATTGAGATCAGCGTGTGTATCTCATTACCCAGATTGATCATTCGATGATGTTATGTGGCAGACGATGTTATCCTATTTACACAAATGCCAAATTCTGGAATAATTGAATTCAAAACACTTCGTCTTAGGACAATTCCCTAAACTAAATTTACACTAACAATCCTTGCGTATAGTTAATGGGGGATTAACGTTCGCTATAATTACAGATAACTTTGATAATTTTAACAACGCTGCTTCAATTTGAGTTTCTTGAGCAACAATGCAACAGAGAGTACGGAAATAACTGCTTTGAACAAGAATTTTTATAATCTCCATGAGCTTGAGAAGAGCTTTTTGCATAAAATCCGTCATTTATTTTTAATTTTTTTATAAGAAAGCGTGGAAGAACGTTAACGGATCCGAAAATTATTTATTTGGTAAAAATAATAAACATACATCGATTCATACTTAATTTAGTTGCAAAAAACGTTCATAAACTCCAAACTGAACAAATCGTTCCAATTACATTTCTATTTGGGATTCATGAAATCAAAGCCATTTAATCGATATAATTTCACTATTCTGTTGATGGTTATTTAAATTAGCCAAATAAAAAAATGTTCCAGGTAAATATATTTTCGTGATGCTCGTACACACTTTTCATTTTTTGAGCACTAATTGCATATATTTTCTATTAAAGGGACCTAGTAATACGGAAAGATGACCCACTTGTGATCATTTATGCATTTTAATCTCAAAGTGTTTACGGAAAATCCATTCATTAACTTGTGGGTACAAACTGAGAGCCTTCTGAATATTACAATTTTATACTCGTAATTATTTTATACTCTTAATACAGTTTTCTACAGTTAGTTTTCTACAGGATACAGCAAACACATTTCCCAGCAGTCATCTGACGTCTAAAACAACGTTTATTTTATGAATTTAAATTATATTTATTCAAGAAATGAATATAG